ATGGAAGAATTCAATGTTTTGCAAGGATGGGTTACACCTATGTATGAAAGGAGAGTTCCACTGGATCTGAGATATGCTTTGTTTTTGTGGAGATTCTGTACATATGTGTGTGTGATGAGTGCATACATAGGCACATAGTCAAGATCACTTAACACAGATTAGTTACTCTTTAATACTGTCTGTAATCATATTGTTTTATTCATAATCAGAGTGGTAAAAAGGTAGATTCCCGCCTTTCAATTCTTGTGTTTATACTCTAATCCATTTTAGTGAGTGTAAGTAAGAAACCACTGAGTGTTATTTACATGTTCTTAATTAAGGCAAGAGTATGTGAGAATGATGGATCTGTAGGGTAGGGTAGGATTGTGGGTAGAACTATGTGATTTTCTGTGAAAAATAGGTGTTGTACAAGAATGAGCTACTTAATATCACCATAAGATGTTAAAATAATAAAGAGTTCAGTGGCTCTTTTTGAAGTGAGACTGCTTATGTGACAATAAATTGGGTATAACTAACACATTTATTGTGACATAAAGCTTTCACAGACCAGAATGCATATCATGCGCAAAGTGTTCTTCTAATGCTCTTAAAGCACTTACCTAGAAATAAGCTCTATTGAACTAAATTGGACTTATGTGAGTAGTCAAGGATAGAGTTACACTGGGAGTATTTTTAAAGAAACGTGAAGCATGGTTTGCAATCAAACAAACTGATTTCACATAGTATGTAGTTTTACAGAGGCCGTACTTGTGTGGGTGGGGTGGAGGACAGGTCATCTCTTTATAGTGTTTATGTCCACATGACAGCTATAATAGGAGTAACCTATCGTTTTAACCTTTCTGCTGATGATTGGGCAAACAAAGATTTGTAATTGTGTAATTTATCAAAATAAATAGAATTTCTGCAGAATTACAAAATATACAATTAAATGCAAACTTGCATTCAGTGTCAAAAGGAATTAAAAGTGAAAAAAAGGTGGGGAACGGACAAGAATATAGATACCTGTTGACAATAGATTACATAATAATTTAACTATCCTCGCCAACAGCTGTGTGTGGCAGGTCCCAGAGCGAACCTCATGGCTGGGCATTTGATGTCCGCTGTCCAAATCTGCCATTCTGCTCACTGCATGCTTGTGTCTGTTTCCTTTTCAAACATGATTTGGTGTTTCAAAATGTCACAAATCCACCTTGACTCACAGCAAAAAAATGGGATGTAAAATTATAAATTCTGGGGTACATTTTTTTACAGGTGGGAATTACGTATGTGGCGTGGTCAAGCAACGCACCACATGTATGTATGTATGTATGTATGTATGGCATTTATATATGCCACCTTTCTCCAAGGAGCTCAAGGTGACATACTTGGCTGGTTCTCTTCCAGTAAGTTTCACGGCTGAGCAAGGATCTGGACCCTGGCCGTCCAAGTGCTAACCCAACGCTGGAACGTGACGGACGGACTTTGGTTCTCATCCAGCGTTAGCCATACTCCGAGTAGAGCCGCTGAAATGAATGGATTTTCCAATCTCTTCCTTGCGTTTCTATGAGGGGAAAAGGGCGCGAGCGGCGAGAGCGAACTTTCCCGCCAAGTCTACAATTCCTCCTCGTCGCCTAGATTGCCTTGGCGGGAAGCCGGGCCTCCCCTCGACGGGAGCTTTTCGTCCCCCTCGCGTGTTCGCGCCCACCCGGGAGCTCTCCGGCAGCCGGCTTCGTGATGGCGCTGAACTCTTGAACTCTGCGCGGGGTCGAGATTTTAAAGGGCTGGGCTTGCTGCCGGGTGGGAAAGTGGAAGTCTCTCCCCAGGGAAACGCAAATGAACATGCCGGGGAAAGACCCCGCGGCGCTGCCCAGTTCAAAGGCGGCCGGGACCAGGAGCTGGTTCATGAAAGGGCCTGCGAGCGCCTCCCTCAAGCCCAGGGCAAATTTACAAGCGTGCCCCCTTTGTCATGCAGATAGGCAGCGGCCCTGCGTGCAGCGGGGCGCCCAGCGGCTTCCATTGTCCTCAGCTTGAGGGGCTGGGAAGCGGGGGCTCCTGGCGCCCTTTGAAGTGGGGGCAGCATCTGCAGGCACTTTCTGCTTCCTGCCCGGCTCCACTTCGGGCCGGGCAAGCCCGCCGCTGGCCTGCAACAGGCCTCCGCTCGCTCCCGCGCTCCTTTCTTCGGCTGAATGCGAGCGGCGAGTTGTACTGGTGTCTCTTCATTTAAGCCAAGCGGCCTGATGCAATACTTCAGCATCTATCTCACAAAAGAGGCGCTGGCATAATAGGTGAATGCTTGTTTTCCAGAATCTCTGCTTCAGCTGGAAATTTGGCACTGAAAATCCTTCAGGTTTGGAAATGTGTCGCTCAAGTCGGTTTTGAACCATGTTTTATATACCATAGGCCCAACCTTCCCAGAGGCCAGCATTTTCAACTACTCTCTTGATTTCAGCGAGAGAGATCTAAGCAGCAGTTTAACGTTTCCTTGAAATCAGCAAGACTTTTAAATACCAAACTTGTTATTTAAAAATAAAACAAAGCAGTGGGTTTTGTTTTGGTTTTAGTTCACCATCTTTATTCCTTGTAAAAAATGATTTTGCCAATCACAAAATTGCCTTCACCTGGGCATAAAGTGGCCCAAGTCACAATCATGCCACAATCATGCCATCAAACTTCATGATTTTTGAATGGCATGAATGAATGAATGGGTGGGTGGGAAACGAAAACCTGGTCTGGTCATATGAAGATGCACCTCCTCAACAACATCTGAAGCAAGCACAATCAATGACTTTACCACCATCACCGCCTTGCACCATGATTCATGGACTCATCCACAACAACAGTGACTTCTTTTCTGCCCTCTGACAAGGCTATACTTTCCAGGAATGGTGTAACAGTATGTCCCCATACTGTTTTACTTACCCCTCTACAGCCTTTTTAGTGAGGGATAATGCGTACGTACTGTTTTGTGGTATTGTGATGGCAATCGCAAGCATGTCTGCACTAAAGTAGATGTTGAATCATTTAGGAGTTGAGCAGGATGTTTTAATACAATGATATTCAGAGACTCCTGGTTTCCTTAAATAGGTTGCTAAAGAAAAGTACAATGAAGTGGGCTGGCTGGGAAGGTCTCGGAACAGTCAATATTCCCCTTAGGAATTCTGGAGAGTAGATCCTGGGCTATTTCCCTGCAAGAAATCTTAACAATGTGTCAATTCTCCTGTACTTTATAGATTCTAGGAAAATCTGTTCATCTCCAGATGTCTATTTTGGTTTTGTTCAGTGAATTCATGCATCACAAAATTTTGGAAGGCATCTCACCTTGGACTGAACCAGTGCTGATTTAATATTTGCATATGAGAGTTGAACTAAAGCACAGAATTAGGGGTGGGGATGTATTTCAGTTGGGGTTTTCTCTTGAGACTTGAACCATACACACGGTTTACAACTTGCATGCTTTTCTAGACAGGCCTAAGCAGGGGTGAGGGACCCATCGCCTTCAAAAACACATTTTTGAGTTAAGTCTTGAAGGTATGTGAAGGTCAATTAGACTGAACTCTGGAAATGTACACCCTTAGACCTAGATCCCATAGGAACTTCTTCTTTTTTTCTTTAGCAAGGATGGGGAAACTACAAGAAAATCACAGCAGCTGCCATTTGTGTGAGTGGGTGGTCAGACACACAGGTTCAGGAATCTGTCATTCATGCATCTCAGACCCAAATGTAAAAAAAAGGGGGTGGGAATCAAATATTTGGTCATTTTCCAGCAATATTTTTAGAACATGTACATTGGAAGTGCCTCTGGAGAGTACTGAAGTATGAAAGGCCATCACTGCATGAGTCACTGCTGAAATGGGGATCTGTAAGAGAAGACTGAAATTTTGTCATATTATAAACTTACTGTCTGGCTGCCCTGGCAGACTGTACTTAAAATAGAGCCAAATCCTGGTGCACCAAGGGGGGAAAAAACAGTTTGTGCAGCCTGCATTAACTATAAAAATTGCTCTCTGCTTATTCTGCTTCTCTGAGTGGCAGTGAGGGGCAAGGAGTGAATTCTGCCAAGGCCTCTCCTGCTCTGAGATTTAGTTATCTACACATTCTCAAGACAACCTTCCCAAACAACAACAATGAATAATATGAAATCTAAGATTGCAAAGAGGCAATCCAGTGTTTGATGTCCATGATGGGCTGGATAAGGGCTAACAAACAGAAACCAAAGCTAGTTCTTCTGATCAGTAGGCAGGATTTCGATTTGGAGGTTCATTGGCATTGAAGGGGCATGCAATTTGGGGTAAATTTGGACTGAGTCTTAGACCTGGATTTTCAAATCTTGGACATGGCTAGAACCATCTTTCCATGAATAAGATTTCTGCGCCATCCACATACTTTTTTGAAAACTTAAAATTTGGCTGTGATGATCCACGCCATCTTGTCTTGATTATTTTAACATGCTGAAGACCATTTGAAGACCATTCAGAACATTCTGAACAGTTGGATCAGAATGCTGCCACCAGGTTTCTTATGCAGGTGAGATATAGTGCTTATGTTACCCAACTGCATTCTGCATTGGCTGCCCATTTGTCTCCCAGCTCAAGTCAGAGTTCTGGTTGACCAATAAAGCCCTAGGGACAAGGTTATCTGAAAGACCATCTTCCTCCATACAATCCTGCTGAGAATCGAGACCTTCCACATATGCCTTTTTCAGTGTCCCTTCAGCTATTCCTAAAACAACAATTAGGGATTAAATTTTCTGAAAATCTTTATCTCGACCTTATCCAGAGAGATAATTCCCCCCCCCAATTCCTGCCTTGCTCCTTGATCTCAGTGACAAGCAAGTTTTTTTAAAACCAGCTCTGCTAAAAATAGAAACATTCTAGCATTTTATATGCATAATATTATATGCATATACATTCCAGGTTTCTTATGGTAGTGCTCACATAAGAGATACATGCAGCAATGCTTATAACGGAATAATACTTGTGTTTTAATACTGTACTTATACAGGGCAAAATAGTACTTCTTTTATATACTAGATATACATATGCGTATAATAGATGTATAATTTTGCATATAATTATCCAGGTTTTTTTAAAAAACATGAAAATGCATGAGAGGTTCTGACAAAAACTTTTGTATTCAAGAGGTGATCCAATACTAGATTGGGTCAGAAAAGCCAGATTCTGTGTCTAAATCCATTCAAAAATATTTTTTCCTCCACCCCACACGACAGTGCACAAAAGGGCATTTTCTGTGGTGGTTCCTGCCCTCTGAAACACTCTTCTTCATGAGATAGAAAGTTAGAATTGGAAGAGACCCCAAGGGTCATCTAGTCTAACCCTCTGCAATGCAGAAATTCCTCTCACAGCCATCCCTTGGTGGACACAAACCACCAACCTTCTGGTTAACAGCCAAAGGCACTGACCCATTCCTCTCTATGGTTCCTTCACTGCTTGTGTTCAATAGGACAGTTAAAACATTTCATTTTAATAAAGGTTTTGAGACCTCTTAATTTTGGATGGGCTGCTGTGAGTTTTACTGTTTTCTATAGCTTGTCTTTATTTCATATTGTTTTCAATGTACACAGCTCTTAGGGAGGAAGGATGTACAATATTTTAAAAACAATAAACATGCACATTATCAGGCTTCTGAATTGAGCTGAACCCTGTGTTCCCTACCATAGTCATTGCAGTTGATTTATTTGCCTGTTTTCTCTCTGCCTCACAATAATGTGAATGCCCTACCGTAGCAGCCAGTTATATGAAAAGTGTGGACAAATTATGAAAATGCTAACGTGCGTAAATTGTGTGATGAATAAAGAGTCAGAAATGCATTGTATTAGATGAGGCATTCCTTTCCCACATACTATCTGCACTGGGTTGTTGAACTTCATTTCTGCTGGATATTATTTGCATTCTGACATAATGTTAATTCATGGTTTACAGTTATGAGAATAACCTACACACCCACACACCCCGCAAGAGCTTTCCCACTCCACTAGGCGATCAGAAACTTCTGCTTTGGTTTTAGATTAGCCAGGTTTAGGACATGGCTTTGAACCCATGGCTGTTAAAACAAGCCAGTTTAATAACCAATACTCTGTGTTTATCGTGATAACCAAACACAACCATTGACTTGCATGGCTTGTTTGCACAAATACTTTTTCATGTATTAGTGGTGACTTTAGGCAACTGTAACATATGACTAGTTTGCACAGAATGAATTGCAACCAATGGGAAAGTAATGTAGGTGCATGACTGAGAAATGAAATATTTGTGTGACCTTATTCATAATAAGTTGCATGGGACAGGTGAATGATACACCTTCTTTAAAAGGAGCAGTAGGACCCAGTTTTGTGAGACCATTATGCCCCCAAACCCTGATCTTTTTCCAGAATAATTTCCCCAGTGTTTGGGCTGCATTTACTAAGTTTCACGAGGTAGAGTTTTACTTTGTCTGTGTTTTTGATAGTTGGTAGACCCAGAATGACACTAGGTTTCCACTATTTTTGTTTTGTGCAGCATCTAATGGGCTTTTGATATATGCTTGTAACAGCCACGGCATTGCAGAATATAGTAATAAAATACAGCCATTAGATGACATGTTTAATGTTTTTATAATGCCTTAGATTATAATGCCTTAATGTTTTTATAACGCCTTAGATTTTAATAAACCATTTAGAGAATGGTAGCTTAATAGAGAGGTCTTTTTGCTAGTTTTCTGAGTGGTTATGTTGATTCATTGTAACACTTTAAGGGCCTCGAACTTTCATCTTTTTGATTTGTTTACCGGTACTTCCCAAAGGGTCTGTAGAATAGAAAACATAAGAGAACTGGTACTGAAAGAATCACACATTTGTTATCTGTGTGGTTAACTTGAGAGCCTTTTTTAACCAGGAAAGGATTACAATCTAGTTCTGCTTAGAACTCATCAAAGGCTTGGTATCACCTTCACTTTATCAAAACTGGAGCCAGTTGGTATTTTGAGGTCCTGGGGCAGCAAAGAAGGTGTCTTATTTTGTGATGGTGGGAAACAAAAACATTGTAACTAGATTTTACTTAAAATGTTACACAACAGAGTTGCATTAAGATAAAATAACATCTCAAAAACATTTCTAAATAAGTTAAATGATCTGGTTGGATTGGATTATGAGAAACTTATTCTCTCCTTGACTACAAATAAACAAAAAACCAAAAAAAAATTTAAATAATAAACTACCGAAAAATTCATACACATTTCAATTATAACACTGAAAGGAAAATATACACTTTTATACTATTATGAATTTTGTTTTATATAAAGTATCATAAATCAGGGTGAATAAAAAGCAATTATTATTTTTTAAAAATAAAAAATCAGATTTTTTTAAAATTTAAATCAGATTTTTTAAAATTTAAATTGGATTTTAAAAATAAAATGCTTTTGGTGGAAAAATCTTTCTAAAGATAGTTTTCTATTTAAGTTACATTATAGTCCAAAGGTTATTCATCAGGAAATAAGGATTTGTTTTAAGTTTTTCATGTTTGCTTAAACTCAGTCTAAGCTTTTTTTAAAAAAACAACAACAATGTTTAACCACATCAGTTAACGAACATGGATACATATGCTATAATGTTACTGATTTAGTTAAATAAATTGTTTAAATTGTTATTAAGGAAATGATTATTTTTCTCCTTCCAATAAAGTACAGCAGAAAAGTTGTCCAAATATAAACAGTTAACTTATTAAACCTCACAATAATTTCATAATTATCTGTCAATGTATTTCTAATAGTATAACCAAATCAGTAATTTTTTATATAACTGTAAAAACTACGCTGAAAATTTATTATTCCAAAAATGTAGCCTTCATCTGGTTGTAAATATTAAGATTATACCAGCAAGAATGAGTCTGTCTATTAAAAAAAAAAATCATTTAAATCAAGTCTTACTGACTAGTGATTTAAATCGTTTTTTTAATCGATTTGATTTAAATCAATCCACCCTGTCATAAATATATAACATTTTTCAATGAACAGTATTTTATTGCCCAAAATAACTTCATTAAAATACACTTAGTTAATAAAGCAGTGCTCTAAATATTATTGAGCAGTTCTGAGATTGGTAGCACTTGTCATAAACCCCCACCCCCATAAGATTCTCACTAATACAAATGAATTTAATATCAAATCAGAAGAAATGTCTTAGAAATAGGCACCTAAGTAGAATTTATTGTATGTACATATGGTGCCAGATGTTTGTAACATCCAAAAGATGTGAAATTCTTTTTTAGAAACGTAGGGTGGTATCCAATGCTACTCAAAGTAAACTCATTGGGATTAAGTAAGAATTGATTTCAGTGGGTCTACTGTGAGTATGGCTTAGTTAGGTATCACACCATGGAATTTCATTTCGAAATAGAAATTGAAAATATGAGCAACGAAAGGGAAGAACACATTAAAATACAAGGTCACTAATTAAGAGAAAAGGGGGAAAGAATAATAAAAAGTGAAGCTTAACTGGTTATATTCTTGGTATATGAGGTTGTAAGCCATGCTATTTTTCTAGAAAAAGAGGTTCCAGAGCTCACCATGAACTTCTCCCTCATTCTCTTAGAATGGTCATGAGAGGTGCCAGAACTGAGCGCTCGGGTGAGCTCCAATTGAAAAAAAAAGCCCTGGTTGTAAGGCAATTATAGTAAAACAGCCTGAGGGTCTCTTAACTATTGAAAGCATTGGATATGGAAATGATATAATTGAATCATAATGAGAAAATACTTGTACACATACAAAAACTGTTAACGCACATAGATTGGAATAATCTAATTTTTCTGAAAGTGCAAAACCTTTCATTTCATTTTGGCCAGTGCGAATAAGGCACTTTGTATACAGGTGCTGTCCTATGTACATTGTATTAGGTACATTATATTATTTAAAATCTGTAATCATTTTAAAGCATTTTTAATAAACAAAGGAGTAACCCGCTCAGGAATAAGATTAACATAGAGAGCAAATAAAACTCTTAAATGAAATTATACGAATCAAACAATCAGTTTGAATTGATTAATGGTTGGCATCATGCTGCAACTGGAGTATGCATTTGCCTTAAAAATATCAACAGTTTAATTATGTATGTTATAAATCATAATGCTAGATAGCTATATTAAAGGTTCCTTCTCAGCTCCTTATTGACTAAATCACTACTGGGGTGTATCCTGAGAGCTGCTGGAAAATAACGTAGTGGTGTTATTAAATCTTGGCGAACCTGGGAGAAAAAGGGACCTTTAGATGATATGATTTAGTGTTCAAGATACCATGAATGAAATTATTAAAAGCTTCTAACACCCTGATCAACAGGATTTACCGTAGATCTATTGATTTTAATGGAATTTATATCCATTTGTTTAGTGTTTAGTAGGATAAGGATTTAGGTCATTTTGTTTGCTTATAACCAAGCACACATTTCCAGCTTGTGATATTGAGCCTACCAATTATTTAAGCAGGAGCAATTTCATCTAAGCCAGCTCAAACACCTTGTGCTTGAAACTAAACAGATATATAGGCACACGTAGTTTATGCATCATTAGCAGCGTTAGGAATTGGGCCAGCTTTAATTTGCTTGTTTGTGGCATTTTAAGACCACGTACCACTAAGAGGAACAGCACCTTTCACAATTAACAACAATCTAAGAGCATCAAACATAACTGCAACTTTATCAAATTACGAGAACACTTAATGAAATAAGAATAAAAATAGTTGATGCTGAATGTCAGCGAATTTTGTACTGTCCACTCTGCAGCAATAATTCTAAAAAGACTCAGTGGCCAGGAGATGCCTTTTAAAATAAATAAATAAAAACCTCACTTGATGCCAAAAAGAAATGGGACAATGGCAGTACGTGATCTTATTTTTAAGCAAGCTACCGTATTCTACACAAGCTACAGCTTCTGAACGTTCCTTAAAGACAGCATGTGTAGAGTGGGCTACAGTAGTTTGCCAAGGTATAGGTGACTGGCCAAAAATTAGAATAGCAGCAAACTTTAGCACAAATCGCACAAACATGAGACTTCAAGAGTAACACTGCATCCGTAAACATTTTGAAACTGCAACCACTCCTCATTTTTTTTTACGCACACAGTAGAACTCACACCTAAACTATATGTAATGACGAAGATCATTAGCTTTTAAACAAACCACTAATAGTGATTTACAGGGGCGTAGTGTGGGGGGTACCAGGGGGCCGTGACCTTGGGAGCACAATATTTGAGGGGGCAAAAACCAAGCGCCCCCATGTAGGCACCCCCAGTGCAGCCCAGCCCAGCCCAGTGCTCCTCTCCACCCACAGACTGGGCTCCCCCCTGCTTAGAGATGGGAAGGCCTGGAAAAAAACTGGAAAATTTTGGGTAAAAAACAGGGTTCCCCCCCATTTTTTCCAAAGCTGTTTTTCCCCAGAAAAATTGAAGAAAAAAAAATTAGTTTGATATAGTTTGAATATTCCACACACTTTTTTCCAATTTTTCCTGAAAAAAATGGCTTTGGGAAAAAACAGAAAATAACATGACCCCCCCCATTTTTCCATCCCCCCCCCCAGGCCTTCCAGCACCACACTTTAGAGCTCCCAGCCGACTGACACCAGGCAGGTGTTCTCACTGTACTCTTTCCGGCAACTGCTCAAAACATTTTCATTAGGTCCAGCCCATCTGAACACGTAGAAGCTGCATGCGATTTACTTCCTTTTAACCACTGCTGACTTTAATCATCTTTTGAATACTCTTAAATACCTGCTTTTAACTGTGCTTTATCTATCATTTTAATGTTCTGTTGAATATTTTTGTAAACTGTTCAGAAGCTCTCTTACCATCATGCGGTTTATAATATATAATAACAAATTCAATTTAAAACACACACACACACACACACACACACACACACACTCCTTTTGCTTTCAAACAGAGTTTGAGCCTTAGTGCAATATACTATTCAGTAACTGGATGTTGGTTCCTTCTGGGCCTGGCATGCAAAAAATTTGCCTTATGCTTTACCCCAGCTGTCCTCAAGTAGAGATGGGAAGACCTGGAAAAAAAACACGGGAAAATTGGGGGGAAAACAGGTTTTTTCCTGTTTTCCCCCAAAGCCGTTTTTTAGAAGTCCATGAGAAAAATGACAAAGAGGAAGAGGAAGAAGAAATGGAAAATGATAGCAGTAGTTCAGAAAATGAGATAGAATAAACTGCATGTATATGTTGTGTCTTCTGTTGGGTTTTTTTTAAAGCACCACTCAAAGGGTAGACCTTCTATGGAGCTTAAATATTGAGGTGGATCTTAATTTTATTTGCTGTTGGTGCTAAGGGGCAAATCTGATTATTATTTATGTTGATGGTTTCTTGCTTTTTTTTCTGGTTTTTGATGGAAAGGGGGGTGGTTGCCTGTTTTATTGCAAGCATAATACTTTTATATAGACGGTGTTTCATTTGTAAAACTACTCCACACTGAACTTTTTTTCAATTTTTCCAAAATTTCCTTTCCCACCGGAAAAAAACGATTTCCCCCCATGGCTTCAAAATTTCCAGAAATTTTACATCTCTACCCCTGTCCAGGCAGGCAGGCAGCTCAGGGCAGCCCTGCTTTGCCCTGGTGGAGCTGGGGTCGCTCCGGCAGCATTGGTGTTGAGGGCTGGGCGGCTGCCTCCCCCCCCCCCGTGCATGCCCACAGGCCCTGGGCACTGACAAATGATCTACGCTGCTGGCGATTCATATTGAGACTGCGGGGCTAGAGAAAGGAGATACTCCAGAGGCACATTCCAGCAAAACAGTACTGAGTAACATTTTACTGAAATTAACTGGACTTGCCATTGCAACTAACTTGCTGGATTGTGCCTATAATGTTGTTTGGAATATTGTTTTATTTGGACAACAAAACAAATGCTTATTATTATTATTATTATTATTATTATTATTATTATTATTAGCTACAGTCATTGTTAAATGTTGCTCTTTTCCTCTGCAGAAGATATTCACAAACTATGTGTGAAAGTCTTGCACTTCTTTGCAATTTTTCACAGACTTCCTTGTGATATTTATTTTCAACCCACCTTTGTAAATAAATAGTCTATGACTAGTTCATTGCCCATGTTTTATATGTGAGCTTTGAAACTCGCCCTTCATTGGGTAGTTATATAAGTAGTAATGTGGCATAATTTCCACTCTCTGGTTCAATACCTTTTTCAAAACAATGAGTCCCAATATTTTGTTGCTAGATATTCAAGCTTGGCTATTGTCATTTTGTTACAGTGGTTGCAATGGATGGTGAAACGAGGATTTGAATGCAGTGACAAGCCGATGTTTCCAAGTTGCAGAAAAAAACAGTTGATTAGAATCTAAATAAATATTCTCAGAAATACTTCTGTTTCTGTTATGGGAAGGAAATTAAAATTCACTCAAATCCTAGGAGATGAGTGTGTTTCAGTCTGAAAATGCTGCTGCAGATTTCACATTAGAGCCTTTATGGAGTCTTTAGCAGAAAGGCTTTTCATCTCTGTGTGTAATTCCTATGTGTGAGCTCATTGTGGATTTTTCAGCATGATAAAACTTTTGGGGTTTGTTTTCCATATGGAACACATCACTGTCAAATACCTGAAACAGATAGCTTCTCTTCTCCATGCAGAGATACATATAGAGGCATGCTATATGTACACACAACCATGCACGTACACACACAAGTCTTTCTTAAATTATTAACCACAGCATGCTGCTGACCTCATATGAGATTTGTTGAGCAGCCAGTCCTTTGTCCAAGGTACATACAGTCCTTAAGGTATGGTTTCTTTGAAATCCAGAGAATAGCAGCCTCCCTTTAAATATGCCTGTATATTTAACCAATACAGTGGACGCTCGGATTGTGAACGTGATCCGTGCGGGAGGCACCTTCGCAGCCTGCAGCATTCACACCCTGCAGCACTGTGTCTGCGCATGCGCAGGTCACGATTCGGCGCTTCTGCGCATGCGCAAAGCGTGATTTAGTGCTTCTGCGCATGCGCAAGTGCCAAAACCCGGAAGTAACCCGTTCTGGTACTTCCAGGTTTGGCGCAGTGCACAACCCGAAAACACACAACCTGAAGCATCTGTAACCCAAGGTATGACTGTATTTCTAATGTGCATTGTACATTGAATGCACTAAAATTAGAGATCTGAATGGACATTAAGGGACTCCAGTGGTGGAAGATACATCTGCCAAAAATAAAAGCCCTAAAAGGATTTATACTGGAATAAAACCAGCTTTTAAATCGTAGGCAAGCAGATCTCATTCTCTTTTTACATATAATGTGTATATATCTCATGACTTGCATCATTATATTAACAAGAACAGCTCTGTTCTATAGAATTGCTTGATGCATATTTCCTTGGAAACAGTAAGGCTTACTTTCAAGTAGGTGTGCAAGGGATTGCTGTTTTCATTCCACACTGGCACA